GCTTTAGCATCTCAGTTATTCAAAAGCACAGTTTTTAATTACTTCTTGGGACCTCTACTTATCAATTTTTAAAACACAACGTTATACATAGTCACTGTTCATATGAAGTAGCAAAGTTGGGCACATCATATATTTTAACTTTAGCCACTTCTTTTTTAATTCAACGTCCTTTCAGTTTTATCTCTATTTGGAACATTGATTTTCTAGAAGTTTATGTTGGATAAAATGAAATTTCAAATACTAATTTCATTTTTTGGTTTAGTTTTGTTGTACTTGATTTTTGTTTTATTTTGTTGGCTGTTGTTGAAATCCATTTGATTACCACAAAGTATTAAAAATATAGTTACTCTTTTTGCTTCAGTAATGTATTCTGTGTAATATTTCTCTATCATATATATGTAATTATATATTATCAGAAGTTTGTATTATAGCACATTACATGTGGAAAATTATATGCTGAAGAATTAAGTAGATTTGGAATGACCAGGTCAAATGTTTGCAATATCATGAAAATCCATTATGTATCAATATATTTAAAATTAAATTAGAATTAATTCAGAGCTATATTGTTGCTCTGTATTCCCTCTTGATCTGGGAAATTAATAGTTGTACATTGTAGTAAAAATCTCTAAATATGCTTATGTAATGATAATATTTTATATAAAAACGTTGCTTTTGCTAGGAAATATTTCTGTATTCATTTGAATTTCTGTATTCATTTGAAATTAACTTATATTTACCTGCTTTATTAATCATTTCCTGCTGCTAACACAGAAAGAATCTGAGGAAGGAAGCTGGGCCCAGGTAGGAAATTTATATGCTTTAAGCCAAGTATTATTTAGTAGGCTATGAGGATAAAAATTAGGAAACTACCGTAAGTCATATCTGAAATATTTGAAATTTTTACTTATCTCAATATTAAGCTGATATGGATGCTTAAATCTATGTTACATGTGTCTTTTTAAATAGGATATTTTGCAAATAATATCATAATCATTTCATAACTGGTTTCTATGGCAGGGTAATTTTATTTCTTCCCCAAAGAATGATCTGTAACTTCAGTATCTCTGAAATCACCCCTGGATGTATTTTAACAGGAATCACTCAAGTTGGATCTATGGGGGGAAATTTAAAAGGTTAATTTGGAGTTCTATAAGCTTTAAGGTATCCTGTAGAGTGTATGAGGACTGGGTCTCATACAGGTGTATGGGGGACAGGTGTCAGCACTGCAGACTGCATGTCAAGAAGACACTGCCTTTTACTACAGTGACCATAGGCAACAAGCATCTATGCTTTCGATAAACATGTTTGTAAGGAAGCTGCACATTTTCTACAG